GCATAGCACTTGCATGACATTGTCTAGTTAAGAGATATTACTAAAATATAGGAGAAATAATATAGAGAACTCGTATATAGACAATCAATGGGGAAAACTGAAAGATTTTGAGAGATAATCTTTGTAGATCATTGTCCATACGAAAATTTAGACCTACGGGCCATGCTAGCGGTGCTTGTAACTAGAAAAAAATAATGTGCCCCTTCCTATGTGTAGATCTTATATAGAAAAACCCCATAGTGAGTCAGTAATTACTAATTTTTTTCGTGTGCATGTGTGCTTCCACATCATCCAAACTGTTGTAGCCATTGGATTAGATAGCTTAGTCAAATAACATCCATCCGATCTGAAGATGAGTCTCTACCTTGCAACATGCACGGTAGATTTTAAATGTCAGCACAGTTAACTTATGACTTGCTCAACTTTTTATATTATTTTTTGTATTTGTTTCTACATAGCATAATTTAGATCTTACTGGTCAATTTATATTGTGTAGTACAATATTTAGACCTCAAATCTCTAGTGTGTAATCATGCTCTGCTCCTGAGTGTGGACATGCTGAACCCATGGGCATATGAGCCCACTTTTTTAAAAAATGCATTTTAAACACATTTTAAAATGTAAAAAAAACAAAAGAAAATTCCACGCATATATCTTTGCAACATGTGTGCGCGGCACAAAGTTTTATGAAAAAAATGTCTTGGCTTTGCCCCCGCAAAAAAAATCAGTGCTTCTCAATAGCGTTCCATGACACATGGAATTTGAAGATGTATGTGTTGGGGAACGTAGTAATTTTAAAAAAATTCCTACGCACACGCAAGATCATGCTGATGCATAGCAACGAGAGGGGAGAGTGTTGTCTACGTACCCTCGTAGACCGAAAGCGGAAGCGTTAGCACAACGCGGTTGATGTAGTCGTACGTCTTCATGATCCGACCGATCAAGTACCGAACGTACGACACCTCCGAGTTCAGCACACGTTCAGCCCGATGACGTCCCTCGAACTCCAATCCAGCCGAGTGTTGAGGGAGAGTTTCGTCAGCACGACGGCGTGGTGACGACGATGATGTTCTACCGATGCAGGGCTTCGCCTAAGCACCGCTACAGTATTATCGAGGTGGACTATGGTGGAGGGGGGCACCGCACACGGCTAAAAGATCAACTGATCAATTGTTGTGTTTCTAGGGTGCCCCCTGCCCCCGTATATAAATGAGCAAGGGGGTGCGGCCGGCCAGGAGAGGGGGCGCGCC